ATCCGGCGATAATACTCAGCTTAGTGGCTGATTATGATTTTGATTGCATTACTTGCATTGATTTTGGGCTTGTAATGCATTAATGGCATTGATATTGCATGAATGGATATTAGATTCAGTTTCACTAGTATTCATGTAAAATGCATTTCCTAATATGTAGTGCGCATGTGTGTGTGTGTGTGCTACACTTTTGCTGTAGCTCAGCACTTTAAACACAATTTCGTTGTTGACAACAGTTCTTGTTTGGTGATTATCATAAAATTTTATGCAGCGAACGAACAGTTTCACTTTGTTGATTGAGTTTTTTGTTTTCTTTTTTTTTCATTTAGTGAACTTTTCTCCGTCACAAGTTAACTAACAGGGAACTGGTTAGACTAATTTTAGTTGAAGTTGTGCATTTTTGCATCAAAAAAACGAAAACCTAGCAAAGGCATTTAGATAATCAGTACACAGAGCGAAAACCACCTAATAAAATTTGAAAAAATTAGAAGAGATCTCAATGTTTTTTTTTTTTTTTTAAGAAGGCCATCTTATTTTGCGATTACATTTTCAATGAAGTCAAAATGGAATTCCTTCGATTTTTATTAGGTTAAAAGCTAAAAATAGAAAGTGAAAAAAACCCAGTTTCCGCTGACCTGTCCCCAAACCCGGGACAGTTTACTTAATTAAGGAGTGTTTACTTTTTAGTGATGCAGTCAAGTAGGTTTCCTCTACGTAGCGTGATTTTAAAAAGATATTCTTATAAAAGATAATAACAAATTTTTTCACATAAAATCAATAAGGAATTTCTTTAGAATTTTCTTTATTTGTCCGTCTGTTTATTACTTAGTCGGCAAACTTTTCATATAGCCAATCTTCTCGTTTATCTAGCCAATATTTTTCTCTGTGTATGAATGTCCGTACAGCTATTTCTGTCGCTTTAGCTCCTTTGTAAGCAATTGGCTACAGCACAAAATGAAAATTGGCGATTACTTTTATGATGTGACACACCACAGCCTGCTCCCTTTCTCTGCAGCGTATGCGTTTCCAAAACTCTTTTTTGTCTTCGTATTTTCTCTTTAGCGAAAATTGTATTAGACGTTTCCATGAAAAGCAATTTTGTCTCTAACCAACAAATTTGTCCAATTGCTTTGCCTTACTAGTCACTTGCAACTGTTAAGCTCCGTAGAATTTAAATTTGTATGAAAATTGAGCACGAAAGAATGTTACTCATACGTCGCTAAAACCTAAGTAACACGCTTTTCTGCTCATATTTCATACAAAAAATCTTGCGAATTTTTTTTTTTTTACCACTCATTATTTCGTATTGATCCATCGATTTTCTTCATCAGTAACTTATTTCTTTTTTTTTTTAACAGAAGAGGCTTTAGTACAAAGGCAAAAATTTGCCACAGAAGTGTTTTTTTTTTTTTAATTTTTCTTCTGTTAAAAGTTGGTATTTTTCATTTGTTCATTAAAAAATAAAAAAGGCTGGAATGATTAATTAATTTGTCAGAAACTATAAGCCCTATCGGAAAGTGATGTATATGCGGTTAACGGAAAATTTCATTGGCTTTCTTTTGCTGTATTTTATTTTAAAATTTTTAAATTGGTTCGTAAGATATACTTACGTGATTAAAAGGAACCAATGTTTGCTTTAAGCTGCATAACGATAAATTGCAAATATCTCAAAAACGTATCCATAGAAGAAAAATTAACTCGATTTTCGGAATCTCCGAGTAATTCTACATAGGAATTGGATAGGGGCATCCATAGAACATTTTTGCTGTAAACCAAACCAGTGTATTTAGTACAATAGTTTATCATTTTTCCATAATTGCATATGGAAAAGCTTATGGGAAGGGCAAAACAAAAGCGTATTCAAACGAAAAGATTTTCAAAAATGACAGGACAATAAAAGTTGCAAACCGCATCTCCCACCTTTGCTAAACGAGTACTTTCCCCTGCAGAAAAAATTATCAATTGATAAAAAATAAACCACCAAAAAATATAACTTTTTGTTAACTACAAAAAGCTAATTTCAAACTAGTCGAAAAGTAATGAAGGAGTCATGCAGACGCACTGGGGAGTCTTTAAGCAAGTTTCTATATAAATATCCTCATACAAATTTTACATTGAATACCCGTTTTTCTGAACTTCACAAGATCGAAGTTTTATATTATATCATTTTGAAGCTATGTCTGACGGAATTCTAGTACAGTTTGAGCGCCTACAGCAGAATATGTAATATTAAATGAAGTAATAAGAAATAAGCAGGTAAAAAAAATTTTAAAAATATATTTTATGTCTAAAAGTTATTAGTTACAAGTTAGTTGGCATCTAATGCATCGGCAACCACCCTTGACTATTTCGCAGCCATCGCCACAGAAATATAGTTAGCTTTCCAAAAAGAAAATATACAGATAATAGTGGCATTTGGTTCCTTCCTAATCGACTTCAAGTTAACACTAAATACATTTCCTGCAGAGTTTCTGCATGCCAACGTCGCACAAGAAATTTCGTTCACAATGTGCCAGTTATATATAAGTCGGAGACTAATTGATCTCGAATTTGCTTATAGGCGATTATTCGCCTTTTTCCAAAACCGGGTTTCGAGTTATTCGAAAAATTGCGATTTGAAAAAAAGTAGGAAAACCCGTTAAACTGGTTTTATTTTAAAAGTTTAAATAAAGTGAAAAAATGCTTATAATATATATAAATTAAAATATATATATATATATATCAGTGAAAAATTTACGTTTTGTTTTATTTTCACTTTTTTTTATACTTGATTGCATTTTTAATGCCTATTTTCGGATTATAGTACTGCCAGTCGGGAGGTCCATGGTTAAATTTCTGGTCTCAGAAGCATCAAAAAAATGCCCGCAATTGGCAAGAAGGCTTCGGTATAGCTGAAGACGGCCTGTGCTTACTTGTTTTTTGTTAATTTTCACAAAAAACAAAATCGAAGCAGTGGTTTGTTACCAAAACCTAGACTTCAAGTCGTTGCGGGTTATCGTCTTACTAACGAAACAAAACTTTAAGAATATGTTTTTTTAATTAAGCGGAATATATATCTCGTATGCCTATATTTGCATCCTTTTTTCAAGCTCTGGCCCGAGCAACATCTAAAATGTAAAAAGTGTTTTCTATTAGCGATCACCTCTCGGCAGGCAATAGCACACCTCCGAGTGTATTTTTGGCATGAAGAAAGCTTCTAAATAAAACCCATCTTCTGTTCGGAGGCAGCGTAGAACTATGGGTCCAACCCTCTTTGTGTGACAACAGCAAGGTGCACACCACAAATCGGAGTAGAATCGCGGCCAAAAGCTCTAGCTAATGACTCCTGTGATAGAACAGAACCAAGTGCATAAGCCAAAGGTTTGCGTAATAATTTTTGTTATATTTTTGGTATTTTGTTGTATTTCAATTTTATCTCAAGGCTTCCAGAGACAAGATAGACAAAAACAAAAAACAAACGTATAGAGATGTCGAATAGTTGGTTTTTCCAAGAATTCGAAAACAGAAAGTACAGCAAAATTAAGTAACCATTGGTTAATGGGTTCTCTTATATCTCGGGAGATGTGTAAACGCAAAATATTTATTAATTTTTTACGCTTCTTAAGATTCCTTATAGCATTTTCTATCAACGTTATAAAACTCGAGTTTTTCTCTTTCTATCATTTTGCTCTCCTGCTTATGTGTACACACTTTGCGAATAATCATTTTCTTTTGCATACATAAATTCCCCCTCCCATCATCCATTCCAATCGTAGGCAAAAATGAAATGAAACTTTTAATTGCTTTTATAACCCTTTTATACCAGTTACCGCTAAATCCAAGGCAACCAACCGGTTTGTTGCATGTCATTTTTTCTCGGCGACAGTTGCAATTACATGCACACAAGTACACATGCAGCTAAACATATCTATGTACATTTCTTCTATACAATCGTATATTGTACATTGTTTATGAGTGCATTGCATGTGGGCGTGCGGTAAAAAGTTATTTGCACATTAATCTAGTCGGATTGTTCCAGCAATGGAGGAGACAACACAGGCAATTAAGGAATAAATCTCGTTTATTGTTGGTTAGTTTGTTTTATTAATTTACTTGGATAAAGAAGAACAAACATATATTTACAGCGTCGTAACAATTTTACAAACTAGAGCCTATTTGCGAAACTTTGAAACAATAAAAAATAAAAAATATTAAAATTGCAAAATATTAAAAGTGTCCAAGCCTAGAGCTTATGAGAAAAAAAAAATATGTTTAACATACTCCTACGCGGCTTTCCCCTTCATCAATGTTTCTTTTTGGGTAGCGCACTTCATGCATACATACATATGTTTGTCTATATGTATTTATTATTCTCCACAGTTGGCTTTGCCACTTGGAATATTCTGTCGGATGGTGTGCGAGTGAGCTGTAAATATTTATTAACGGATTAAGTCAAGCATTTATGCATCCACAACCAACAACCGTACAACTCATATACGTTTGTATGTTTCTTAAACAGCTTTTCTTTTTTTTCTCTTTTGTATGTGTAGTGCATACGTATTGCAGGGTGTGAAAATTGCGAAAGGATCTATGGATTAACGTTATGGTTGTGGTTGTCGGGGTGAATTGCAAATGTTTATATGCAAATATTTTCACAGATTAGCAAATTGTGGCTCAAAGCCGGATAAGTGGCAGAGAATATGAAAGAAAAGAGTTGTTGGTAATAGATATAGGTACAAAACTAGATAAGTAATACTGAGAGTTATCTATATATATACAATATTTACATAGGTGTATGTATGTTTCAGTGTTTTAAATCTACGAATTGAATGAATTTCACCTGCGCTGGGTAATGGTAAATCATTTAATTTTAATAGAGTCTTTACTTCGAATGAGCCTAGCAATGTACAAATACAATCGAAATCGGAATCTTAAACATATATACGTAGATATTTCAACTTTTTTTCTATATTTCAATAACTTTTCAGTAATTTCTATGCAATATTTTATCTTGCTTTCAGCTAGTGTCGAACCTTCTACTGCCAGCCCGGAAAATCATCGGCTATAACTCAACAAACCCAACCATATAAAACTCTAGAAAATAATGTTTTTGCAATCAACGAAACCACCGGAAATATAGCAGCCAATAATTGGATAGATTCATACAACTTTTCTAAAAATTATCAAATTAATACTTAAAAACATAAATTTCCGAAAAATGCAGCTTAATAGCTTCTTCAACTGGTCGATGTTTTGCACCATCTTGTGTTTGTTTGTAGTAGGTAAGTACAGAGAAAATCCAACTAAATATGTAGAAACTATTATCGAATACTAGTATAAACTTTTAAGTCTTTTAAAAGGTCACTCCCATTTTATTTATATAAAGAAGTAAATTTGTGTGCACACGTACACATGCATATAAGCAACTAAAAATATGGAAGATAAGATGAAACGGCAGGTTAAGTATACGCCCCGACGCACAATGAGATTTCATCGGAAAAAATTAAGAAGAATTATATTCAACTAAAAGTTATTGAGATTTGTGTTAAACTTCTTCTAATAACTTTTGTTTTGATTTTTTTATTCTATTGTTGTAGGTTCATATGAAAATATAGCATTTACTTGTAGTACAAAGTAGTGCAAAATATTAGCAAACAGAAGTTATACATTATAAATGCCGACCTTGACATGGACCAAACTTTGTTCCGTCCGTCGTCCTATAGAAAGATTAAAAATCGGAACCTTTTCTTTCGATTAAAAAAAACATGGTTCATATTGATGGCATTTTTAAGGCGTTTTTGAGGTTAAGTTTCCATACCTTAAAATAAACTGATTACTCCAATTTTTTCGTTCTTTTTAATGTATTTTTTTGTAAATGTGCAATGACATAAATTTAGAGACAAAAAAAATGACAAAGTTTCGCCTCGGTTTTAGTACTATTATTATTTTATTAGATTTTATTTCATTTGTATGCATCATGTATGTATGTATGTTTGTTTGGGTCAAATCTTGAAGTCGATTTTAACCAACTTCCCGATGAGCTGAAGGATTGAAAGTTCAAATTCTGCTCAGAACCCAATGACAATGCAATAGGAAAGAAATGAGATTAATCTGCTAGGAGATGCCGGAGTCGAGATAATTGAAAACCCAGTTTTTATAATCCGATTTGATTCGCCGCAAAAAAAAAAAAAATACTGGTAGGTGGCGCGTGGTCAATTTATTTCCAAATCCTGCATCTATGGTCGGATTTTGTTTATATTTATATATAAGTAAATACATATGACTATTATACCTACATGGAAAGGAATAACTCCACAAAAAAATTTTACCAATACGTGACTCAGGAGTCTAGATATTTTGTCCAATTTGTTTCGTATTAAGAAAGCTTGTTTAAGAAGCATTTTTTATTACTAACTTTTTTTTTTTTAAATCTTTTTTCGATATTTACATTCAATAAAATGAACTCCAAAAAGATGGCCTTCGAAAATGCCGCAAGGATTATTAATGTTGTGTGTGGAGCAGATAAAACTAAAATCTTGAATAGTTACAGCTCTCCTTTAAAGTTTAATTTAGGTACTAAGGTGACTGGCGTTGTATGGTCTGCTTCGTATATAGCACACGCTCTTCGAAAGTGTCACAACTCCAAAAAAAAAATAGGTCGATTTTTCATGACTATATTCTTTAACTAGAAAACTATAAACTATTATATTTGTTTTTGTACCAATTGCTTTTAATCTGTACGAGCTGTTATATTTCTAGATCTTGTTTTTGAGTTGTGCCTCTTTTGAGTGTTTGGAGTGTGTGCGATATGTAAATATGTATATATGTACATATCTACCAGTACATAATTGAATTGATAAATCAATAAAGTCGATCTATTATCCAGCAAGATGGTCGCTGTCACTGCGTATGCAATACTTCCTTACGTACACAGTTTCATAGGCATAACTATATACATATACAGTTGTCGTCAACTAATTATGTTAGTGCCATTTTAACCAGTATAGATTATTTTTCTTTTTACTGTTTATGTAATAAATGTTTTAATATTTTTGTGTTTAAATCTAGCTCATTGTGTAACAAGCACCCCATATAAATCCATATTCCCATTAAATTTTAGTAGCATAAAGTGCTACATGCAAGAGTCTAGGAAACTGCGTTGCACTTTATCAATTATATAAATAGGCAATCATGTTTCGTTTACACCCCTTTTACGGCTAAACTATACTTCTAAGGTATAAACAATTATATATCATTAGAAAGGTATTTTGATGCTGATGTGCAGGCAATTTTTAAAATTTCAAATTAGTTTAAAATAGAGCGAAAAAATCAATTCAAAAGTCACACCAATACAAGTACCATACATGTACATGGTTGGGGCGGAAATGCCTCCTAAATGTATGCTTTAATATTGATAGTGAATTAAAAAAACGTGCTAACCCTGCAAAAATCGTTGGACCATGTAGTCTATGTGTGGTATATTGGAGTACTTACAAAAGTGTTCCTCTGGCATGCTATAGCACCAGCTTATTGTTACCCGATCACTGCTCGTGTTTTAACGAAATGTGATTGAAGTTCAGCATTTGAAAGCACATTTGCATTTGCTGTAGCTGAACGTGTAGAGATGCTGGCTGTTAGTTCTTAGCTCCCAGCATGTTCGGGTTCGAATGTCGTCAGAGGCAACATGCAATTTTTAATTTTTGTTTTTGGTTTTTATTAATTTCAAAAAAAGCACCTGTTAAGTGAAGAACAAAATCGTGTACAAATGAAAAAATATAACAACAATGTCATTGGAGTTTGTTGGAGTAGTTTTGTGCTACTCTGATGTAATGCAGAGATTGAGTACATGGTCCTGCCCTAGGACATCGCAATGTTAATTGGACCATATTTTTTATATGAATTGTGGTTAATTTTGGAGTACTCCTTGGTCCTTCGGGAGTCCTCTTTACATGCATGCATGGAGTAGTCGCGATTTTTGCAGGGAAGCAGCAGTTTAGGAATAAGATGTATGTATGTATGTACATGAATAGATTAGACTCAAAAAAGGAAGAAGGTAAAGTTGAGTATGGAGAAGAAGAAAGGGATAAATAAAGAAATTTAAATAAAAGTAAAGAAACCTAAATATAAACACAAAGAGGAAGGAAAATTTAAATACCTAACCCAATAACAATGGTGGGGTGAATATGTAAATGAAGAAAATAACGGACATATTTAGATCAAGAAAAGGAAAAGATAAAGATGAAAAAGAAGATGAAGACCAAGACGAGGAAGAAACTGAAGACGAAGATGAAGATGAAGATGAAGATGAAGATGAAGATGAAGATGAAGATGAAGATGAAGATGAAGATAAGGATAAAGATCATAACCCCTTAACTTAACTTAACTTACCTCAACTCATCTCACATCCGCTTAAAAACTTACTCCACCAGAGCTCACCACACATTAATTCACCACACCTTAACTCCCCACACCTAAATTCACCACACCCAATTCACCACACCTCAACTCACCACACCTTAACCCCCACACCTAAATCCACCACACCTTAATTCACCACACCTCAACTTTCTCACCACACCTTAACTCTCCACACCTCAACTCACCATACCTTGATCCACCACACCTTAATTCACCACACCTCAACTTTCTCACCACACCTTAACTCACCACACCTTAACTCACCACACCTAAATTCACCACACCGTAACTCCCACACCCAATTCCATCACACCGCAACTCACCACACCCAATTTCACTACATGAAATGATATCACTTGATGAGGCATCAAAGGCAACATCATTCGGCATAAAGTAAACCAAAATAAATAAGATTTAGATAGAGAGGAAGAAAGGGATAGGGATAAAAAGGAAATACAACTGAAGATTGTGCGATGTTATATTGTGGTGTGTTATGCTTCATATGTTATGTTATTTAATCTAATTTTATGGTTTAATGGTATGCTAAGTGCTAAGCTAAACTCCCCTCCACTTAACCCATTCCAACTAATGTTTTTTCAGCTCATTCAACTCACATAAACAATCCCTAATTTTATCGGTTGAATTTCAACCGCTGGGCGAACTCTAGTTTTGATAAATTTGCATTAAAAATGCATACTTAAAATTTTTCTAAAAATTCCGATTAAAAAATTTGGTGAAAGTTAGTTGATTTTTATTGAAATATGGATTTATATAAACAGCTAGACTTTTATAAAAAAAAAACAATATGTAGTAAACATTAAACAAACAAAAAATCGCCGCCTTGTTAAAATGGCACTTACTTAATTAGTTGGCCGCAAGAGTATAGTACATATTCATTAATGACCGAATGCATTCACCTATGTAATTAAACCGACTGCGCCAAATTACGTACAACAATTTGCTTTTAACTAATCAACCCTTCACTCGATTTCAATTATTTCTAATAGCTCAACGGAGATTTGAAAAAAATGGGAGCAGAAAAAAAACTATAGCAGCCTATATTAAAAGTAGCGACATTTCAAAATGTGCTACTCCAAAGCTTTTGTTCAAGGTAATAAAACTCGAGATATAAGCAGTTTTGTTGTAGGTATAGTAAATAAAATCATATCGAGTAATGGAAATCGGTTTTTATTCGATGTTGAAAGAAATATATTTAGCGATTTAGCAAATGTGTAAACCTTACTACTTTGAATGTTAATCCCGGGATCCCGGCCTTTTTTACTCTCTTTATTGACCAGTATTGGCTATATATCTTTTTTATTTAATGATTAATATTTTTTTATAAATGTCTAGCTAGTCTACCGTAAGTAAATTTTAAACAAAAAAATCAATATATTCGCGAAACCATGGGCTAATTAAAGTAAAATTGCGTTTTTAGTTTTTCGCTCTGCCGTCAGTAATTCCGAACTGATTTTAAAGATTCAGTGAAATGTGCTTAGAGAAGAAGTACGGGTATCGAATTAAAGAGGAAATTCTGTAGAATTTAAACAGATTCACGTTTTTGGTACATTAGGACTGGCAAGTATTGAGAATGTCCTTTTAAAATTTTATCCTTGTAATTTCGCAATATTTGTTTTTGAAAAAATTATATGCTGAGGACTTAAATAAAATCGATAAAATCCTTAAATTTCGTTATTCTAATTTTATCAGCTTAAAAAATTAACTATCCGTCCTTGGGAATCCACAAGATTTTAATTTTTTGTTGATTCTAGAGAAATTTCCTATTTAATTTGGTACCCATATTTTTATTCCATTGCATTGAATTTTTTTTTTTAAATAATTTTTGGAATTAATCATATCTTTG